ACGAACTGTCCCGCTTTTGTTTAAGCCGTATCATTATCCAAATTAGGAATCAATCTGTGGCTTGTGGCTTATATCAGGGGTAAAACCCATATTAGGAAATTTGAAATTTGGTTCGAGAAAAGTGGTCCTATAAATGGCGATTCTAATTAAAACGTGACATGCATATCACGATGGCGCAGAAAAGTGGCGCAACCATGATATTTTCTTTGCAAAAGTGATCAGCGTAACGCTCACAGTATTTTTCATAAATGTGAATTAAGGAACGCATATCACGAGTTCATGACACATACTTATTTGATCGCAGAACACCAAATATAGCTCAAAAACAACGTGAACTACCTTTATTATTGCTAAACTAAATACATATTCATGTTTAAATTTTGATTCCAAGCTAAATATCATTTTTATTTTTATAACACAGAGAATTTTTTGGGTCCACGAATATATTTGTATTTAAAATATAAGTAGGCATGTCTATAACGTGATAATCTTCATTAAATATATCATCAAATTCATGATAAGATGTTTCTAGATTTTCTATAGTTTCACAGGTTTTTTCATAATGTCCTGCGCAATGTATCATGTTAAAATAGATTGATAAATTTTTCCAATGACAGAAAATGGAACCATAAACTTACCATGACTAGCTTGATAACATTGATAGCAGTTTTCAGTTTTCTAATATCTCAAAGTTTTATAGGCAAATTTTGGTCCAGGAAAGACAATATAAAAGCTTTCCACCAGATCTTCAACCAACAATTGTTCACTTGTGCCACCAAATTGCAAAAAAGGAACTTGGATATTCTTAACCTGTTTATCATTGAGATCATATTCTAGTAATCCATTCAAAATCGATTGATTTATTCGAGCGGAACGGCATCTATCACCAATGATCTTATTTGCTATAGCCTTTGCAGAAAATTCCCATTCTCCAACATCAACTCTTAATGCTGATAGGAAGCGGACATCACATTTACGTCCTTTGGTATAGTCTGTACTCCTACTCAACGGGCAAAAAGATTCCCCCCTAAATGAATATATTTAAAATTGTTAAATGAATATATTTAAAATTGTTAAATAACTATATCATAATCACAAACAAAATAATATTTATACCAACCATATAGAATATACTTTAAGATTTTTGCTCAGTCCTTCAACAATATATGCGCATGCTTTAAAATTACATCAATTTCTGTGTGTGTATTTTCCGAAGTAAAATCCAAGATATTCACTTGATCTTTGCTCTTGTAAATACTGAATACATTGAATAATAAGAATTAGGGTTCACAAAAAAATAAAGACCAGATGGTACTGAATAACTCACAAGTCACCATATATTTTGCTGATCTTATATAAAAAGCTGTTTTTTTCTGAGTTGATATGAGTATCCGTACAGTATTTGTACACCTGATCTACTTTCCCTTTGCATACCAACCACAAGGAATAGTGAATTAACATGTATAAATATAGACAAACAAGTTAAATTTATGAAAAATAAGACCCATACATCCTCAATTTTCGATACAAATGAACTCTCTTCAGCTGCCAGCTCAGGAACTCGTAACATAGATTCATAATTTTTTGTAATGAATTTCCTGTCATCAATACAAAACCATTCCTTCATGTGAGCAGACAAATCAATTATATTTGAAGCGCCATAGCGCAGTATAGCTTTCTCAATGGCATTCTCAGATATCTTGCTAGCATAGATGTCACCAACATTCCGACCCGAAAGCAAGGTCCAAATTTTTGAACCGCTAGAGGCAGAGATAAATGATTGCTCTGGAGGTATATCTTCATCGTCGTCGGTTTCTTGAAAGAAATCATCTGACGGTATTAAATTTAGACGGTTTTGTTTTTCGATTTTGGTACCGTCGGGCAATATATTCCCCTATAAAAAATTAATTTAATTTACCTCTTGTAAAAGTAGAGATAAAAAAATTAAATTATATCCTAACCTTGTACCAAAATGGATTATTCGATTTTTTCACTTCTTTATAAAACTGAAGCATTAATTATTCATCATCCTAAAGGATTAAAATGCAAAAATAATTAGTTCCGCTAATTCTCTAAAAAATTCCACAAATTCTGTCATCATCAAGACCTTGCCATTGCTTTATGCCAAGAACTTACCGAAAAAGGGGGGGGGGGTTTGTCATCTCTGGATCCGGTTTTTTACAATAATCTTTTACACTTTGTTCGCCATTACCCTTATTAAGTATAGCTGTAGCTTCATGCAGATTATCACTCTTCTCTGACGTGTTAACCTATTAGGCATAATGAAATAGTTATGTAATAACACCTAGTTTCTCGTTTTGATAATTAACTTAATTTACTAACCTCATCAATGTTCTCTTCTATCTTCCTCTTTTTATTGATTTGTTGAATTTCCAGTGCCTTGTAATAATTATATCAATAAAAACTTATCTTAATCCTATGTTCAGAAAAATAACAGAAAAAAAAGAAAACTACCTCTTCTATTCAGGTTGTTGCTTTCTTAGCAATTAAAACTTTTGCAGTTTCTACGTTTTTATGCAACTTCCGGTTGTTTTGTTTCTGTAAAATAATAGGTTTATATTCGTAACAGATATGATGAACCTGTGCAAAAGCTGTAATTCACTTGCCACATCAAATTCATGGTCAATATCTTCGAAAAAATCTAGAATCTCTCTTCTCTGAAATGTTTCATTCGCGCTTTCGTATAATCTCAGAGCTTTTTTCTCACTTCAGCGTGCACAAAAGTAAACTCATTAATTTTCTTGAAGACTTTAACAAAGGAATCCAAGATTTCTTGTTTGCTGTCTGAAGTAAATAGTATTCGGTCTTTCAAATATCGGAGGCAGATCAAAACGTTCCAGTCTTTAGGATCAATTTCGTCTTTAAAGTCAGAAGTGTAATGATAGAAAGCCATATCTAGAAAAAAAATGTATTATTGTTTATTTGATCTGGAAAATAACATGAAAGAAAAACACTATTGTAATTGCCACTAGTATACTGGAAGAGAGGTCCAGGCGTAGGCACTATAAGCCATTATAAACGAGTCATAGTGATTATCCCATGACGCACCCCTTCCAAACATCGGCCAAAGGGCTGAACCATAGGGGCGTAGGATGCTAGTAGCTGGGTATACTGGAAGAGAGGTCCAGGCGTAGGCACTAAGAGCCATGTAAGTGAGTCATAGTGATTATCCCATGACGCACCCCTTCCAAACATCGGCCAAAGGGCTAAACCATATGGACGTAGGATACCATCAACGCAACTTTATATGTAACATCGCGAAAATATACTTAACTGAGAAGAAAATAGAGAAAGAAAAATCAATTTGGACGCGAGAAATAGAGAAACAAAAAATCAAGTTTGATGCGAGAAAATATACATCAATATCACACAAAACTCTATCAATACGTGCCATCAATTAATATGGATCGGATACATCAATATCACACAAAACTCTATCAATACGTGCCATCAATTAATATGGACCGGAAAAAATAACGATTAGAAGAAATGCATCTTGATTTTGACTGATTGATCGCAAAATTTCGAATATGAAAGGTTGTATGATAATCTTAGTCAGAAAATATCATTAATTAATTTCGCAAATTACATAAACAGCATACATACAACATACAGTATATTAATATAGTAATATTATTATATAATACACAATATTAATTTTCATCAATTCTAACTAGCTACCAATACCTAATTACCATATACCTTATATTCAGTTAGCTTATCTAAATTCTAATGAACATCATTATTCAAACAAACATCGGTATATCTAACCCTTTTCGTCTGAGGAGTGAATTCTGTATCACTTTTTGGACGTGATTTAACAGCTCTCTTAGGAAGACAGGGCAAAGCTGCTAATAACGTTCCATTGCGTATATTTGTTTTCCTATTAAGCAACGCTTTAAGTGCTATTCCATCCTGACATACATTTGCCCTTAAGTATGCCACTAATTTCAATGCACTTGCGATGTCATCCTCTTGATTACCAGTGTGAAGTTTGAAAGTGAATTTATTTGCTTCATAGGAATAAATCAAAGATTTTTTTTCTTCATCATAGATCGGCTTCATCAAACCTAGATGGATGGTTGTTCCATTTATCAGGCCGATATGCAAACGAGTTGCGTTTACTTCATCTTCTGATAAATAGTAGGCAGTTGCAAGAATGCGATTGTATTCAAATGCAGCTTCTGCTGCCACAACTATTTCATCCTTATGTGTTGCAAATCCGTCAGTCTCAGACTCGACTATGAAAAAGGGAAACTGTTGATCGATGCAATTAAAGATGATAGCAGCAAAATCAGATCTAGCTGATCCGCTTCCACCATTACCCGGGATTTGGTGATGATACTCCCAATTCACATCAGTATCATCTGAATTAGCAAGAAATGTATCTGAAAAGATTTTGGCCCACATTTGTGCTTTTATGTGGTTTTCTGACGGTTTACTCCCTGGGCCTCGACAGGGTATAGATGTGTAGGAAATGACTGAAGTGATTGCTGCCAATGCCGTTACTGTATCAATGATGTAGTGTTCCTTCATACGAACTCCCCATAACCTTGCTGTCCATCTTCTAAAGCTAAAATTTACATTATCTACAATTTCTTTAGTAATTAAACTATGTAAAATTGTAACAACATGATGAAACCGTTTATTCTGGTTCTCCATAAGGATAGATTCCAATAAAGACATGTTAACAGCCGGTCTTGGTAAGCTGACAATATCAAATTCGAATTTATTAAACAGAGAATGGTCTATAACGGACCATTTAAGCATGTGAGACAAGTGTCGGGCTCGTTGTGATTCTGGTTCTATGTGATGATTCCGCATTTCTTCAAGAACTCTCCTATATGGTAGGAGTAATGTGGCAATATGCGGATCAAATGTTAGTTCCTCAACGGTTGAATATGTTTGTGAATTAGACTCATCCTCGTCTTCGATGTTGTGTGATTGTTCGTCATAAGAAGGTAGATCTTCAAGGCGTTTTCCATTTTTCTGTGATATTAATAAACGGAGTAAATGGTAAAAAAAGATTAGCAAACAATTTGCTAAGCCAGCGGGAGACAGCACAAGCCACAATGAGCGTATGCTAGATTGTGGTTTGCTTCCCACCTCGGCCAAAACTGGCCTCAACTCGACCAGTAGTCGCGGGGTACAGCTCCTACGAAAGAACAAAATGTGCACGCTACAGTGATGTAAAGACCAGACACTTTCACTCCAACACCAGTAGTGCAGAGTATAGCACACAATGCTATGAAGCAAAATGTGCATGTCAAGCGTACATAGGACTGAGCGCTCTTCTTCCCCATACCAGTAGAACGGGGCGTAGCACACTCATTAATCTACTGACCTTCAAATCACGCTGTATAGCTAATGCCTTTTTAGCTGCTCTTGTGCCAGTTTTTAGATTCCGAGTCAAAATTTCTAATTCAGCACCCAAGTTGTTATGTGAAATTTGCCTTGTTGCCTCGGGGTTTTTTTTAATGAAGAAGAGATCCCACGTATTTGTATCTCCCCATTTGGTATGGGGTTGCTCCCAATAATCTGAAATATAAGTACAACGTTAGAGCATTTAGCATCATTAATATAGTGAAGAAGAATAAGAATAAATACCACGATTTTGAACTTTTTTTAGAATCTCTTCCGGTAATCCGCCTTTTGGCATATTGTTGTAATAAGAAAACCGTTTGTTAGACGACGCGTTTGAACTCGCGTTTATATATGATCAAATTACACGTTACACCAGAGAATTTATTGTATTATAATTAAATGTTATGCACTATAGTAAAACAACATGTAATTTTAGCGTACCCCTCTGATTGGTCGTATAATGATCATCAACACGTGACTAGGACTTTTTTTGCCATACTCTTCAAAACAAATCTTTCGTAGATAGTTATACTTTGGCATTATAGAGATAATTATCACTTAAAGTACGCGAAGTTCAGAATGCAAAGTTTAAAAACGCGAAGTTTAATTCGCTAATGAGCTTTGCATTCTAAACTTCGCGTCCTTTAAGTATAATTATCTCTATAGTGCCAAAAGTATAATTGCCTACGATAAAATTCATGCGAAGAGCTGAATGGCTACTACCTTGCTCACAGTGATCAAGTGCTATATTTGCAAAGATCTTAATTTGTGATAGCAGAATCGAATACTATATTTACTTTCAAATTGAATTTTATTTTCTTTTTATTTAAATTTCTAATTCACTCTCTGAGATCTATGGAAATACCAATGCTTGATATTACCAGCATGTAATATTATCTTTTCATATGTTAATACTAATATGTATATTCTTGTTATCCTTTGATAGAGTATAACGGATGACGATGTTCCTTCTAAAAGGTTGTTATAGCTGGGAGAACGCCCGACTATTATATTCTTTTCTTTGTATCAATAATCTTATAATTTATTTGTTTATATAGCTTACGTTGGCCATATAACTTCGAATGAAATCAAAGTTTCTCTACAGAGAGAAATAATAAAGGAGATTTCAGCTCGTGATAAACCAGGAGACATATATATATATATATATCAAGGTATTTATTATTATCACCAATTCATTATTTTATTATTATTTAATTAACTGTTGCATCTTATAAATCGAATGAAGTGGTGGGAAAAAAATATGCAATTATAAAATCAAGTTTATTGAAACTTATACGACAAAATATTCCCATCGCACCGAACGATTGATCCATTTAGAACTAGCATCCACAAGATGTATTTACCACAATGTCCTGGTTGTCAGAAAAACACCAGGAATGGTACAACGTTTCCCAAGATGTGGTCTGCGAAGTCACAGAAAATGGATCAAGTATATTGCAAAGGATTATAGAGTAAGTGATAACTATTCAATCTACGGTGATATTACAAAAACCATTCTTAAGAAGGCAATTATAGTAAAAACAAAAAAATTAATCACTGTAATATTAGAGTTTCGGTTAAGGGTTAGTGTCAGGGTCATACGAGAAAGACATTTATACAAGGAACATTTTTTGTTAGAGCACAAAAGATAGTTTCATAAGCAAAATTTCGAAATACATGATCCATTATTGTCAGGGATCATTGACTGTCAGGACATTGAAAATAACAAGTGAAGTAAAGAATGGGAAAACTCGATTTGGAGGAACATTTTGATGATCAAATAGCACCTCCTGAGTGGCCTTTATTGCCTGCAATATTACCTAAATCAGACGAAATAGATTCGAAAAATAAACTGAAAGGAAAAAAAGCTCCGATATTAATAGACCGACAAACAGTAATTAAACAACATTCATAGTAATAACAACAACAACGGTAATAATAATAGTTTCAGAATATTAACAAAATTCAATAGACTATTTCGTTAGTTTCTTTATATTTAAAAATATCAATAAATTGCAAGTGGAATCAGACAATAATAGTATATAGACTGTCTTTAGTTGGACATTATTTACTTAATAGATTGTTTTTTCGAAGTTTACTTTGATTAATTTAATTATCATTCATGACTCGATCTATGTTCAATCATATTGATCGTTCGATTTAATTACATAACTTTTTTTAAAATTTGAAATAAACTAAATATTGAACTTCTTTGTATAATCTTGATCTTATTGTGCACATTCTGTATCTGCCCAACTACAATCACGCTTGTTTGACTCGCATCAAAAGCTTTATCGATTTGCCTCTTTTTTTTTTTACTTTGGGTGTAATTATGGTTCTGAGTTATGAAAATCTAATAGATTATTGAAATTCTCTACTTTTTAGTTCTACAATGACAACTGTAAATCAGTATGCGAAAGAGGATGAAATTCTAAAAATGGATTTTTATTTCTTTAATGAGTAAATATTTTTGGTAGCCTGAATTCTCTTTTTTTGTGGGATTATTGATTTTAGACGTTATCTTTAGAATACGGTTTAAAGTACCCCTCCCCCAATTTATAAATCTAATATGTTTGATACTAAATTACATGTGTAAAGCACCCCCACTTTAAATATGCAAAATTAGGTCATCACACTGCAAGTTTTGTTGATTGTTTATCCTTGTGGGAGAATAGATATTCATATTACATGTATAACGATGAGCAGCAAAATTTATCATCGTACTTTGAATGTGCTTACAAAATATAACATAATAAGACGACCATATCAATATTATAATCATCATTCTCGAAACTTTTATCTTGGCAAAATCAACAACCAAAAAAAATTTTTCGGATCAACATCAACTCGTTCTTTAATTTTCATTGATTATTGTTCTTTGATTCTCTCACCAATATCCAAAAAAACATTCAAAAGAGGAATCTTTTCATTACCATTATCATCAATAATGCCTCAACATCCACTGGTAAATAAACCAGCACCCGCAAATATCACTTTAGAAAACCAAAATGGAGAGCAAGTCCAATTGTCATCTATTATCGGACAAGGAAATGCAGTAGTGGTGTTCTTTTATCCAAGGGATGAATCTTATGGGTGTGTTAAAGAGGTAACTAATTTGTTAGGTATATAATATTATTATATTTATCGATTTCGCATCTTTTTTGACGATTAATACCTTTTTTGACGATTAATACCTTTTTTCAGGTTTGCTCCTTCAGAGACTCATACAACATATTTCAAGAAGCAGGTGCTACTGTCATTGGTGTTTCTTCTGATTCTGCAGAATCACACAAGAAGTTCACGAGTTCTCAGAAGCTTCAATTCCCTCTATTGGCCGATGTAAATAATGAAGCTAAAAAAGCATTCGAGGTATAAGGATGTTCACCACTATATATTTATAGTATACAAGAAAGGGAGATCTCCTAATTTAAAATCATTATTATATCAGGTTCCGAAAACTCTAGGTTTCATACCTGGTCGCGCCACTTATCTGATTGATCGCGAAGGCATCGTTCGTGAAGTGTTTAATTCAGCTACTGATTTTGCAGGACACGCGAAGCGTGCAGTAGAATTTGTTCAACAACAGCAAGCGGGTACTGTGACCGATCAGAATGCGACATCAGAGGATACTGAGTCTAAAGTCCCCACTTCATCATAATTGTCATGATTATTTGAAGTGGAAATTTTTAGATCATACCATGATCGAATTACATAACGATAAAGTTACTCATATATTATTCCAAGTTTATTTTTTCACTTTTTTCCATCGTTAAAGCAATCTGTGTCATTTTATTACAAATAGTTGATATTGTCTATTACAGTGCGAATTGAAAAAAAAATAAAATTACTCTCTTTGTTTTATAAATTTTTGATTTAAGTGCAATATTACAGGGTCAAAGATATATAAAGAATAAACATAGAATTTGATAATTCACCTCTTTATTGCTTACCAGAAGGTCTAAATTCCTTCTGTGAATCTAAAAAGAACTGTGAGCTTGAAAGGAAACAAATTGTCACGCAATCACGAGATCTTATTTGCAGAATGAGGCTGTATTTGGCCGAGCTGGTAAGTTGTCACAACATGCGAACCTGACTTGATGACGACGATGGATGAAATTGTTAATTAGAATCTAGAGTTGATTTGACGCAACTGAATCAAGAACGTGGTTTTATAATTTAAAATTTTGCTGGCATTTAGCTTGATTTGCCGAGGCGCATCCGTTCTTTTAACATCTGTTGACATTCTTGGATGTCTCAAAACAACTGCCGAATAGGTTTACCGTGATCCAGTCCTCGTACTGCGAACGACACAAAGGGGCGGCTGGATCTTCGTAAAGATTGCACAGTTGTCTTAAAGTAACCTGGACCCATTATGTAATGCTTTCTTTAGATCGTATGCTTCATTCTCTTTCAGGAAGCTACGCATCACTTCCTGGTGAAGATCGACAAGATCTTCCTTCATATACTTGGTCAATTTCGTAATCAACAAACGGCAATGAGGGCTTCTTTGTGAGCTCCTTCCAGTAAAAATAAAAAAATCCGGGTATTTAAAAATGCCAATTGAATTTGCTCATTCGAGGAGAAACAATTCGTCAGTAACTTTGGGACGCGATATCTCGTGACTCAGTGGCCCGATTTGAGTAAAAATATATTCGCCTTGACTGGGTGAATCGAATGGTGGTATTGGACCATTGGGTCGCGAGATATCCCAAAGTTACCGATGAATTTTTTCTCCTCGAATGAGCCAATTCAATTAGCATTCCGGGTACTCTGGATTTTTTATTTTTACTAATGTTTGTCACTGAATAATATTATGTAGGAGTGTGCATGTGACAGTATTGATTTGTGTCTCAGACACAGCAAAAGCAATGAATTCTGTATCAATAAGAATAATTGCAATATCACAAAGTCGACTTTTCACGTTAATCATTTTAACGGACTGGTTACTAACTAATCATTAATTACTAATTACTCTTCAATTTGGCATTTTTACTTATTTATTTTTCTGTCGGCTTTGGATTTTGACGGAGTGCATTCACCGAGGGATAGTAATCCTTTACTAGACATCCAGCACATTTGGATAAGGGGACTTGCAAATTGTCTGACCGAATCCGCCAAGAAACCAATGAATTACGGACCAAAGTTCTTCGAGAAGCCATGATTCAAGAGCCTTAAAAAAAGCAATGCAAAAGAAAAATAATCTTTTTGATAATACAGTCACCGGCGAAAGTAATGGCGGTGAGATTGTTATATAAATTTTACTACAATACTAAAAATTTTTTATAGAAACAAAATATACAAATAAGAGTGCTAGATTTCTAGCAATTAAAATGTGATGAGTTTGCGAAAGCTCATTCAGGTTTTAAACTTATTTTCTCGATAATCAGTGATCAGATTTTTGTAATTTTGGTCTTATTATATAAGACGAACGTTTTGGTAGTAATTTCATTTTAATTAGAATAATATTATCGAATTATTGCGAATTTTAGTTAAAAAAACGTTCGAGTTACAAAATTTTTAGAACATTAAATTGTATTCGAACTTGCATTGACACAGAAAGAGAGCACACCAAGACTGATATTTTAGGGGCATAATGCCTACTCAGACCCTTTCAATATATATATGTATATTTTTAATTTTATTATACAATTAAATGAAATATAATAAAAAACTGGCCGTCATTACTATCACCGAGGACTGTATATACATTGGGGACAGCATAAATCATCAACTCAGGTTGTATTTTTAAAGGGTTATAACTCTTGTTCTATACGTGAAACAAAAAAAGCCTCTTTAGCCAAATTGTAGCTGGGTCAAATGGTTACAATTTGGCTAAAGAGGGTTTTTTGTTTCACGTATAGAACAAGAGTTATAACCCTTTAAAAATACAACCTGAGTTGATGATTTATGCTGTCCCTTCCCCCCCCCGGTACTAAATCTAAGGATCAAAATAATTAGTCCACGCGACGAACATGGAATCAAATTCAGATTCCTTGAATTTACTCAAAACGAAAATTATGATTAAAAAACTGAAAAATACCTTGATCAACTCCATAAGCCCTCCCGACCCATTTTTCCGTGACTTCGATAATGTTGGCTTCGTCCTTGTCCTGTCAATTTTAAAAAACTGATTTGATAATTTATTCTTTTATTCGAGAACATGTTAATTTAGAAGAATATATGATAGCAGATTCAATTAATTTTAAACTTGAAGAATATTGGAGCTATATAGAAGATTCAAAACAATTGGCACTTTATTATAAAATTTTTGTGGATACTAATCGACGTAATAAGGCTATACTATCATTGCAACGACATTTTATAAAAGTGACACACCTAAGCAAAAATATAATAATTCCTGCAGATTTACAATTATGAAGACAACAAATGATTTTTTTTTGAATCACTTATGGAGCAAACTGCCAAAGAAATATCTGCTGAAGATGAAATTACTCGATACATTGCAACACTAATTGACTGACTCAGATCCGTTAAATTGGTGGCGCCGTTTTAAGGGAGATTTTCCGGTTCTTGCAAGTATGGCATCCTGTTATTTAAGTATACAAGATTCGGAACAAGCATTTCTATGGCAGTAAATACGGTAACCAAAATTCGAAACCAGATACAGCATGTGCAGTAATGTGTTTAAAAGTTGGGTTCAGCAAGTGCATGACAAAAATATATTTTTAGAATCATACTAAAATTGATTTCATGTGAATTTTATAAATACTTGGGAGTATCTGGAGCAAAACCCGAAACAATGAACCCGGAGTGAGTTCAATTTGATTGACCCCTTGCGCCACTATAATATGAACTCAATTCACTCCGCTCCGCTCCGCTCCATTACCTAGTTTACATGTCTTCGTCTAGTATCCTGGACGATCCATCCTTAAAATCAATCGACTAATCAAATTGCAAGATCAACGTGTAACCAAACAAACGTTTTCCTTTAAACGATTGATCTCATACATAATTATACTACCGGCACTATTTATATCTATCACATGATTTAATATATTATCATCAGCTTTAGTTGACAAGCTCACTCTCATCGAAGATTCAGCCACAGCAGGTAGAATAGATTCACGAGTTAGAAATAGAGCAATACGTGATGGAAGTGGTCCATTATATAGTTCATTAGATTGAGGTTTCCAAAATAGTAAATTAGAGTCGTGCATAGAAGCGCATTGAGAAAGTATTTCCTTGGGTGCAACCCAAGCTGTCAGAAGTGACATTTCATTTTCTTTTAGATAATCCAAAAGTTCTTTAAAAGTCCCATATATGCATGGCCACGTTAATGAATGAAATCCTGAATATCGTATTACAAAATCGTTGAATTTATCATTAGTACCTCTTAGCATAAATGATCCCTTCCATCCCAATGCTTTTGCACTATGAATTAGCAATCCCAAATCTATTGCCTCATTCGCTGAATCCAACACTAACATTCTATCAAGATCTTTCTTTTCAGGCATTTGAACAACTGGAAACGGAACTTCAGCAAAAATTTCATGACGATCCGGTCTTGCCGCAGTTCCAAGAATCTTACGTGCCATGTCGATGCTTAGAATATAATAATTTTCCGCCTTAATCAAATCAGGCTTTTCTACGTAATCCAATGCAGGCGCCTGTATCTCATATTTCGTTTTTGGTTTATGAGGAGCATGAACAAGCAAACTTTTTATCGGGAAACCTTGATTAACAAGGTTCAGTATATTAATCTCATTTTGAACTATTACCATTTTTTGCTCTTTTCTATATGCACTATCCTCAACAAGTTTTTCAAGGTGCATTATCTTTTTATCGGTTATTCCATGAAGACGAGTAAATATTGCAGGCCATTCATGTCTATATGCGAATTTTTCTCGGTAAGCTTTTCTTTCTGTTGCTTCACGCAATCTTTCTATTCGTTCCTCATAAGAAAGCGGTTTCTGTTGTAACACACCCGAACGTTTAGATTTTTTGTCTGTTCGATCATGAGTTGGTCGAGATTGTTGATAGGTCGTGTAAGAATCGTCTCGAGTAGAAAAGTTTGACGGTTGACGTCCCCAATCTCCTCGAGGATAGCGTGAATTAAAAGATCCACTTTGTTCATTATTGTATTCAGGATATTCTTTGTTAACATCGGAAAAATTCCGGGATGGTTTTTCGTAATTCGAGATATCACGATTGCTTAAGCTTCCAGTAGAATATGATGATGATGATGGTCGATCAAAAGATCGTGAACGATCGCTAATATATGATGGTCTTTCAGAGTTGTAATCAGAATCATTGTCATATGAACGGGTTTTCTCAGAAACACGTCCAAAATAAGTAGGGCCACCATCACCTCTTTCACTGTAATTTCCAAGATTTCTTTGATTATAATTTTCTCGATTCAAATCCAAGTCTCGGCCCAAAGATTTTACACTAGTAGTAGATGACAGCCTTTCAGCATTACCTCTTTCAGTGTAATTTCCAAGACTTCTTTGATTATAATTTCCTTGATCTAAATCAAAGCTTCGTTTAAAAGATTTTAAACGATCACTAGATGATAGCCTTTCAGCATTACCTCTTTCAGTGTAATCTCCAAGACTCCTTTGATTATAATTTCCTTGATCCAAATCCAAGCCTTGGTCCAAAGATTTTAAACGATCACTAGCAGATGATGGTCTTGCATTATAGTCAGAATTTATGTCAAAAGAGCGGGGTCTTTCATGAACATGTCCAATATAATCAGGACCATTGTCATCTCTTTCAATGTAATTTCCAAGACTTATTTGATTATAATTTCCTCGATTCAAACTCAAGCTTCGGTTCAAAGATTTTAAACGATCACTAGTAGATGACGGTCTTTCAGCATTACTTCTTTCCGTATAATTTCTAAGACTTCTTTGACTATAATTTCCTTGATCTGAATCCAAGCCTCGGTCCAAGTACTTTAAACGATCACTAGTAGATGATGATAATGGCTTTTCAACATTATCATCAGACGTTTTGTCAAAAGAGCGGGGTTTTTCAGGAACACGGCCAAAATAAGTAGGACTATCATCGGTATAATTTCTTTCAATACTTAATCCCTGATTCAAATTTAGGGCTTCACGACTACTATTGGTGCTTTTATCTTTCGTATACAAACTTCCTAGACGCGAGCTATTTGCATTTGGCACCTGGTTTTGAGAAAGTTCATACCGGTCTAAATTTGACGGTTGACATTCCAAATCTTTTGAAAGATATCGTGAACTTTTTTGATCACCATATCCTTGGCTTAAAAATGTGCCTTCACGTCGACTGAGTCCACTATCAGTGTTTCTGTCCTCCCTATTAAAATCTCCTTGGCGCGAGCCATTTACATTGGGCACATGGTTTTGAGATGGTTCTGGTGGACGTTCCCAATTTTTTGGAGGATATCGCGAACTCCTTTGATAACTAGATTCTTGATTCAAATTGGGCCCTTCATATCTATTACGACCATTATCAATACTTCTGTCTTCCCTATAGAAATATCCTTGACGCGCACTACTTGAATTAGGTACTTGGATTTGAGAAAGTTCTGGTACATAACGACCTCTTGATTCATAACAATTAGATAGACTAGTATGAAACCCCTGGCATTGTTTTGATTTTCGAAAGCGTTTTAGGTTATATATAACTTGTCGTTGCATATTCCTCGCATTAATAATTTTTTCTTGATTCATTTACGTTTAGTTTCGAAATTTAAGGTTATGAGTCAGAATTTGTCAGAATAATATCATTTAGAGACACATGATCAAAATACTTTACAAATTTATTAGGCGAATTGTGTGTTCAAAATAACAAACTGATCATAATATTAATTACAATTAGTAGAATATGTTCATGCGCATAGAAACTAAGAGCATTTAAGCGAACACACTTACTTATTAACTCTTCTTGTGCTGCACACATATACACAGTCTTTCGTAATCATTTTTTTGTCATCTATTGACTTTATTATTAGTGGTTTAATTATTATATACAGTTGTATTATCTCGAGTAATCTTTCTTGTCATCGATATCCGTTATTGTTATTATATGGATTAGGAGGTTGGCCTGTTGTAGAGTGATTATGATTTTGATTTGAAGGCGGGGGAGGTGGAGGCGGATACTGGCTATATGGACCTGAAGGTCGTACAGGTGAAGCAAAAGATGGGCGATTACTTGTCGATGATAAATTGTATTGTGGTGGAGGTGCTAGCAATTATCCAACAACATAAAAATCTAGGATTCTCTCCAATTAAAATATTTACCTCCTGGTACCATTGACGGTCTAGGTGGATAAACCTGAGAAGGACCGCCACTCCCACCACCACTACTACCATTCATCATGGGTGGTCTTGGTGGCGGAGGTGGCTGTGATGATGGAACACTGGATGTCAGTAATGGAGGAGGAATTGTTACTGGTGTGGTTCTGACATCTGCGAAAAGACGGTTTGGTAGGCTTTGATTCTTTTTTGCTTGTGCCGCCAATAATCGTTCTTTAACAATAATAGAATAAAAAAATTAAATGATAATCCATCAAACTCGTAACAAACAAAATCAAACATGAATTAATACCAGCAGCACTTCCATGTCTCTCCCCTTTGCCATCTTTCTTAAACGCATATGACACTGTAATTGGTTTATTCATCAGATACTGTCCATTCATAGCATCAATCGCAGCATCCGATGAATCAAAATTATCGTATGAGATGAATCCATAGCCTTTACTGTTTCCAGTATCAGGATCTCGCGCAATCTTTTTTGTCGAAAAATATCCCAATAATTAAAATAAAGTTCAATAAATTCGAGAGAAATAATAATCCTTTAATACCTTTGGTGTCTGCACAATAACCCCAAACGCACTAAACGTATCATACAACATCTTCTCATCAACATCCGGATCCAAGTTTCCAATAAACAATGATGCGCCTACATCCAAGTTCTTTTTATCTGATGTCGCCTTTTATTTTTTTTGGATATTATATACCGGAATTAATAATTTTCTGAGTTTTTGGTGAATCAAATAGCTTTCCTTTTTTTACCTTATTGACACGAATCGGCTTTCCATATAATTTAATCTGATTCATAATCTTTATCGCATAATCGGCATCATCTTCGCTCATATACTCGCAAAATCCGTACCCTTGGTGAGTTTGTGTTACACGGTCTTTTGGTAAATGGACATTTACTGCATATAAGAAAAGTTCGAAAGGTTAATTAACATCAAAATAAACATCCTTGAAGTAATGTATATGTTTCTCGTATAAAAGTTTTACCCTCCAAGAGGAGTAGAGAAAGTAAATAAAGTAGTAAATCAACAAGGATTACAGTACTAGCTTATACACACCTACAGGCCCCGCCTGAAGCATCAATTCCCAGATCAAAGCTTCTGTACATCTTTCATCAAGGTTTCCTATATATACTGTAGCTTCTTGATTACGTTCTTCTGTTGGTCGAGAACTCATTAGTTTTTTTTAGATCTCAAAAAAAAGATGTGTTGTAAGTCAAGTCAAAAAGGTTTTTTAATTTACCAATTTCTGATTGGACGTAGATAAATCTTATCGCTAAATCAGAAATCTGTGTTTGGTTTTGTCGATCATAGACCAGCAGCCAATAAGAATGCGTGGCAAATGTTAAAATTGTAAATTCTATGATGTAATAATTAATTTGTCCAATCAGAATTCTTTAATTTATCACATGATTTTCAATTTATGCAATTTTCCTGTTAGTTGATATCTATATTTATCTCAAAATTAAAATTTCTCAACTTTGAGTTAATAATCCAGTCAGAATATAAAAACCAAAAAATTTAATATTTTAATATTAATTTTAATTATATATTTTAAAATATTTTCAACAAATTTGATAATATTCCAAATTCAATTTTTTTATTTTTATATTATTATATAATAAATTTTTTTACTAAATATTTCATACTTAAATATTATTGAATTATAAATATTTTATATTTTATTGAAAAATCTAATTATATAAAATAAGTAAATAAATAAGTAAGCAAACTAAAATTTTGAAAAAAAGTCTGGTTTAATTCAAGCTTGAATTAGACTTAAATTAGATCAAAAATCTGGTTCAAAAATTCAAATCCAATTAAAAGTTTGATTTGAATTCAAATAAATATTTAATAAGCTTCTAAATAAAATTATAGATTATAATCAAAATTATAAATTAATATAAGATAGTTAATATTATAAATAAATATTCAAAAAGTTATTTAAATTTAAAAAATATTTTTAATTATTATAATTTTAATATATTATAATAAATATTTATCTTTGTTTAATAAATATAAATTATAATTTTAAGCAAAATTATAATTAAAAATAAGAGTTATAATTTGATATAAAATAATTATTATTAATAATAAATATTCAAAAAGAATATATAATATTTATAATAAAATTTAAATAAAAATAATTTAGTTATTATTAACTAATTTGTATTTATAATTAAAGTTGTAATTCATAATTTATATTTAGAATTACAAATAATATATATTAATTTTTAATTAAATTCAAATCAAACTCAAACTTGTATAATAATTTAATTTGAATTTGATTCAAATTTTGAATTTTTTTTGAATTCAAATCAAAGTTTAATTAGAATTTGATTTAAATTTTGAATCAGATTCAAATTTAGATAAAAGTTTAATTTAATTCAGTTTATAGAAATATGATATAATATAATTTTCAAGATATCTAATTTTAACTTGATATTATTAACAAAATAAACCTCTATAAGTTTATATATTTTATATTTGCAATATTTTTTTATTTTAATTTTGAATACTATTTTTAAAATCTAATTTATTGATATATTTTCTAATAGTATTAACAATTATAATTAATAAATAATTTTTAATAATTTTTTAAAATATTTTAATTTATTATTTTTTTGAGAAAATATGTATATTTTAAAAAATTTTTAATTTGAATAATACTTTAATTTTTGCTTAATAAAAATTAGATAACCAAATCATTATTTTGTATTTTTCAGATAAAATTTTACTTAAATTTCAATATTTATTTAAATAATCTTTTTAGAAATTATTATTATAAAATTTGCAAAACTTAAATTATATTTATATATTCAAAACTAAAAATTATTACTTTAAAAATAAATTTTTAAATCAATAATACTTATCTATTACTTGTTTTAACTATAAGTTTTTAATAATCTAAATTATTTTAAAATATAACTTAAATTAAATAATATTTAATATTGCTACCGTTTCTAGTTCTTACATATGAGAATATTTAAAAATAGTTAACAGTGACTGTGTTCACGGCAGATTTTAAATAAGAGAGATATAAATGATGAAAATGGATGGTTGACAATAATAAATTAACAAGAATATGAGTATAAGATGAATATTTGAATTTGTTTGAATAATAAAACAATACTAAAATTAAATATACGCTATTAATCCAAGTTAGAAAGTGTATTGACAAGATAAAAAACAGTATGATGACAATTGAAAAACAACAAAAATAAAACAAAGACAAAACAAAAGAAAACAAAAGAAAAACAAAAGAAAAATAAAACACAAACAAACAAAAATAAAGCGAACAAAAGAAACA